ATGGACCTGCCTTCCCAAACTGCTGCCCACCCCGTTAGAGAAGCATCTGTCGTTATCACAGATCGCCTTGCTGGGATGTTGCCTAGACGAACCCCTTGTGATGGTAACGTCTTCGTATTCCAAGGGCGTAACATTTGGATACATCTTCGTGTAAACTTTATCTTCACATGCCTTTGTAATTCGGGATGCAAGTGGAAGTTGTTCAACCAACGTTGTAGTGGACGGGCTCTGAGAAGGCCGAGTGGGACCACAGTCACTGCCGCTGCAATCATGCCCAATAATCGCTGAAATTGAATTAACTTCATTCTCTTGTTCAGACGAAATGACTGAGCTAGACTGACCAACTGTTCCACCCTCTGGGGTGACAAAGATGCAGTCATCAGTTGGGAATCCAGCGAAATTCCCACAAACACTGTCTGTTGTCTGGGACTTAGATTGCTCTTTTCCCAGTTCACCTTGAAACCAAGTGACTGTACATGTTGAAGGACCATTTCTGTGTCCTTCAGTACTTGGCTGCGAGAAGGAGCACAAATTAGCCAGTCGTCCAGGTATGATAGAATTTTCAAACCTGCACATTGAAGAGGACGAAGGGCTGCAGAAACCACTCTGGTGAAGACCCTTGGAGACAGAGACAGGCCAAATTGAAGGACCCTGAACTGGTAGACCCGATCTTGAAAAGCAAAGCGAAGAAACGGGTAATGATCCTGACAGATGGGTATGTGGAAATATGCATCCTTTAAGTCTATGGAAGTGAACCATTCTCCCGGTTCTATGGATTCCAGAATTTGAACTGTAGTCAGCATTTTGAAGGGCAATACTTTTATGAATCGGTTCAGCTGTCGTAAGTCCAGAATGGGTCGAAGTCCCCCGTCTTTCTTTGGTACTAGGAAATACTTTGAATAGAACCCAGTGAGCTGTTTGCTGGTACTTATCTGTACAATTGCTTTTTTCTGTACTAAGACTGTGATTTCGTTGGCCAAAATTTGTGCCTGGACTGGGTTTCTGACTATGGTCATTTGAACCCCTGAAAAAGTAGGAGGGCGCCGCCGGAACTGTATCCTGTATCCTGTCTTGATGGTATCTAGAACCCAAGGATCTGATGTTACCTTCTCCCAACTGTCCAGGCATAGTTGGGAGCATTCTTCGGCGACTCCAAGACCGCTATGCCTGGCCTCCCCGGGGTTTAAAACCCCTGGTAGTACGCCTCTTAAATGACCCTCCCCTGACTGGAGTATGAGACTGGTCAGTTTGGGGAGCCTGGTAAAATGGTCTGGTGCCTCGATCATGAAATTGGTAACCCCTGGTTCGCCTTCTGTCATACCCCCAAGTTTCTGAACGAGGAAAGTGTTGGGGCTGAAAGGAATGGGCTGCTCTATGGCCATATTTGGTAAGTCCACCAAATGTCTGCTGAACTGATTCCCTTCTGCGGCTTGCTTGATCAGCAGTGTCCAGCAGAGACTGTGAATCAGTGTGAAATATCCGACCTAGAACCACTGGCATATTAGTCAGGTCCTTCCTAATAGCGTCAGGCAAAGATGTCTGCGCCAACCAGATTTGTCTTCTGGCTAAGATAGCTGAAGACATGGATGCTCCAATATCCCTAGTAAGCTGTGAGTGTGTGATGAGTGCTGTGTCAATTAAACTCATCATATCATGCTCTTCTTTATTAACAACCTTCCTCAAAGCAGCCAGAACTATTGCTAAAGCATTTCCTGATCGAGCTGCTCGGGTAGCTGCATTATACGCTTGGCTCATTAACCGATCGGTCTTTTGGCACTCTTTACCAGGACAACGAGGGTTATCTGTAACCTTATCAGGTCCCAAAGTGGTTAAGGCTGCGATCTCTCGCTCCACTGATGGCATGTTCCCCATACCACTCTCAGGGGGATAATCCAATTTAACAAACCGCCTGCAACCTGCATTAAACTGGGGTGCAGCCTTTGGATTATTCCAGGCTTTCCTCAGCATCTGGGAATAATCCTCAGCCACAGGAATGGACACAGTAGGCTGTGCAGGGCAAATACTCGTCCATACACCTTGTGTGGGGGTTGGAGCTGAAGCTTCTTCCTGAGCATCAAGGCCCAGGATCCTTGCTGCACTTAAAATGCGTGAAAGAATGTCAGAATGCAGGCTTCCTTCTGAAACTTCGGACCTGGATTCATCTTCCTCATTTTCGCCAATATCCTCCTCACTACCATAAAGGGAATTATTTGCATGCAGTGACACGGCATCCATAGAATCATCCCTCTTTTCCTGATGTCATGTTAACTCATCTCCAGGAGAGGGTGCAATGGGGACTGCAGATGGCTGCGTGCTTATTGAAGTGTTACGTGTTTCAAGCTTACCAGCTAAGTCACGTAATGCTGCCAAAATTTGTAACTGAGTATCGTCCTTGGGCTCTTGCACTACCGTGGCCCTCTCCCGTTTATCTTGATGCATGTCAGAACTTGGAGACCTGATCGACTCATCAGGCCTCTTGCGTTTGTGAGAGGAACTACTGGGAATCATTTCTTAGCCACCAGTTAAATGTTTGGCTCTCTGCACTCTTTCCTGCAAAGTTAGCTCTATTGCAGCTGCACATGGGTTTTCGATATCATCTTCTAACAGATGTTGCATACCCAAACAGGAGGGACATTCACGGTGCCCATCTCTTGACTGTATGCCAGTTTGGCAAAACCGACATCTTGAGTGACTCATAACAACAAGCCAGAGGTCAAGTCACTCATATAATAAAGGTCTATGATAAGAAAATTAAATAAATAGACAGATTAACTGTAACGAATCACAGTATTTTAATTAATTCTTGGAGTTGAACTGCAAGATTTTAAAATAAACTACCGGCATTTAGTTGAAAAACACAAGCGACAATGCCAATAACATAGATTGTGACGAATCACCAATCATTAATCAAATCAAACACTTCCTTAAACTGCAGGTATTAGTTAAATATGGTTAACCAGATATCCTTAATATATAGATTGTGACGAATCACTTCATACTCATCTTTCAAAATAAGTCTGCGAACAGAACTCCTTGAAAATCATATAATCTATTAGAAAATAATATATCCATCACTCTACGTGCGCACACGCAGTAAACAAGATGGAAAAACTCTCTCCTGCTGCGAACAGCTGACCCAAGAACCAATAATAAATACCTGTAAACAAACTGAAAAAAATAAATGAATAAAGAAACTCACCGACGTGCGTTCCGACGACGCGCCGAGAAATTTAAATGAGGAGAAAACCACCTCAATCCTCAGGGACGTGAAGCACCTGCACGAAAATGTGACGGATTGGAACTAGTTTTTCCTGTAAGCAAAAATTCGCTCTACCGCGACGGTCTCAGATGAGGCGAGAAAGGCAAGAGGAAGTGGTTGGTTCACCTGGATGTTATATAGCCAACCCCTAAGGTCAGTCACCTGACATTGTTGATATTAGGTCTCGAGGATAGGCGGAAGAATGGCGTCATTCAAGGTAAGACCGTGGTGACGGTCTGAGTGAGGTCGAAATAGATCCACTAGATGCCTGTATAGCTCTCTATGGAGAGGCTTGTGAATTCTCTAATAGTTTTTGGACAAAATTACTTACTTTTAAGATGTGGATTTGAATGTGGTTTTTTTTTTAATTCTCAAATAATATTTTTTGCCATGGTTTATAATTTTTTTAAAATAAATTTGATGTGAAGTGTACACGTTTTTGCATTATTACTACAGTCAAACCTGAATACAGAGAAAGCATTTTGTTACAGGTAACATTACAATTCAATAAAAAAATAAACAGTAATGCTTTTTTCACAGCTTATTATTATTTATATTATTATTATTATTTTAAAACATTAATTTATCTTTAAACATTATATTAATTATTATTTTAATAATTTTAATAATTATTATATTATATATATATATATATATATATATATATATATATATATATATATATATATATATATATATATATGTTAATTATAATTATTAATTATGTTATGTTTTTCATTATTGATCTTTTTTTCTGCATCGTGGCCGATTTGTAGAGAATTTGTGTTTGTCAATTTCCCATTCATTTCCTATGGTCGGTCAATTCATTGGTGTGTATGTGTATAAAAAGTGTGTTTATGTGTGTGTGTGTGTGGGTGAATGTGTCTGTTTTGCACTCCTGATGTTTTAGAGTGTCACCCCTTCATTGTTGAGCACTCTTTTTCTGCATCGTGGCCAATTTGTAGATTGTACACACAACAATTCTCAGAATTTTTGTGTTTTGTCAATTTCCCATTCATTTCCTATGGTCGGTCATGTTTGACAGAAGAGCAAAAGTGTGATTCATTTTATGACCACTTAAACTGCTCGAATCATGACCTCAATTTTTTTGTATGTTCACATACCTATTGCCATAAAAGCCACAAAGTTGCGTAATTTTCTGATGAAGCTGTGATTTTGAAATATTCAAAACAGATTTCTTTAATCACAATTTATTGGTGTTTTTGTGTATAAAAGTGTGTGTGTGTGGGTGGGTGGGTATGTCTGTTATGCACTCTTGATGTTTTAGAGTGTCACCCCTTCAATGCTGAGCACTTTTTTTCTGCATCGTGGCCGATTTGTAGATTGTACACACAAAAATTCTCAAAGTTTTTGTGTTTTTGTCAATTTCCCATTCATTTCCTATGGTCGGTCATTTTTGACCGAAGAGGACAAGTGTGACTATTTTTTTTATGACCACTTAGCCTGCTCGGATCATGACCTCATTTTTTGTGTGTGTTCACATACCCAATGCCATAAAAGTCACCACGTTTCGTAACATTCCGATGAAGCTGTGATTTAAAAAAATTTAAAACAGAAACTTTTCGGTCAGAAATGACCGAAGAGCACCTGAGGGATATTTGATAAAGTTACATGTTTTAAAAAAGTGGTAATACAAGGGAAGACCATCAGATGTAAAATTAAGATCCACTGCATTTAGTGACGCACTGACAGAGTGAATGAGATGAAGATGGGTTGGTACCTGAGGATTATCCATGTACCACACCAGGCTGACCTCCAGCGTGTCCAGAATGAAGTAGCGTCGTAAAAACTTGCCGCTGTTCTCCATTTCCTCGATGTCTAGAAAGCCACAGATCCGATTCTGACGATCTACGTACGGCATATCTGAGACTAAGCATTACCCTGGAACACAAATAAAATGATTCTGATTATAAAGGAGATGAGAATATGTGAAGGCTAGAGAAAGAGGGGGAGGATGGTAATTAAAATAAATTTGGCATCTTCGTGTGTGAGCGTCTGGCATTTCCAATGATGTCATTCGTGGTCATGCTCCATGGAAGTGACACCTATTTCCTTTCAGACCTCTGTGCTGATGAAAACCCTGTCAGACGAAGCTGTATGAATACAAATGACTTGATTGTGACATTACCAGAGGCGGACAGAGTACAGAGCTTTGTTACTTGAGTAAAAGTACAGATACCCCTTGCTAAATTTTACTCAAGTACAAGTAAAAGTACTACATTCAGATGTCTACTTAAGTAAAAGTACTAAAGTACTTGTTTTTAAAAGTACTTGAGTATCAAGAGTACAAGAGTAAATTTTCTAAATATTGCATTACTAATCTACTGCCACAGTGCTTACATTTATGCACAGAAACGTCATACATGGAGTTATGAAAAATGTTAATGTTAATACCTTGGAGAATGTAAAAGGAATTGAAAGTAAAATCAAGTCATTTTCATCTTTTTACCATGTTGCTTTATTTAATTTAATTAAATTTTTGGGGGGTCCCATCTTTAAATGCGGGGACAACACACACACACACACACACACACACACACACACACACACACACACACACACACACACACACACACACACACACACACACACACACACACACACACACACCACATGTAAGGGTGGCGCACCTAAAAGCTGTCACAAAGAACCGGCAAAAGGAATGATTATGAATATGTAAAATATAGCAAGGAGATATTTTAATTGTTTATTAATAAACACTTGTTAATAAACAAGTGTTTTCTTTGTCAGTGTCGGCTAGATGAAGTTGACGATGCTGACTCGCGATCTTCAGTAGTGAACGCGCCAGAGAGAAATGCACATTTCATACGGATTACATAAGCAGAGAGCAGTCTGTAGTCTTTTTTCTTTCGTTTTGAATTTTTCTGTTTAAAAGTAGACATGTCTGTGAGAGGCAAGTAGGCTACCTTATACACTTGAGTTTCGGTTCATTTATGAGACGAGATCCAGTTCACGTGCCGGCGCCTCCGTTTCTTATCTATCGTCTGCTATTTACTTCTTATTTATTAAACCCAGGCAATTGGTTGATGAAACATTGATTAAAATTAAGATACAATTAATGCAAAACGAAATTCAGGTTAAAGAAAGGTTTTGTGTTTTCTGTTTGATGTCTCTGTGAAAGTTTTAAAGCATTTTTTATGCCGCTTTCAGAGCGCTCACGTCCGTAACGGAGAACACGTCCATAACATTGTTTTTTCCTCATAAATGCAAACCCGAAAAATAAAATAAAACTAAATTAATATTTTATGTACTGTGGAGACTGAGCGCCAACCCTTCTTCATTCGCTGGGTAGTAGCCTACTTTGGTTTGCGCAGTGTAATTCACATAATCAGTAAAAATATATTTTGCCTCCTAAAGTTTTTTTTTTTAAGAAATCAGAAATCCCTCGTGGCTACGCCACTGCCACATCTGTGTTAAACACACCACATACTCAAGAACATCAAACCAAATGCTTGGCTTACATTAATGTGTAATATAAAATCTGACCATGGAGTTGACTTTGGTGGAAAGCTGAAAGTGATTGCTGATAGGCTGTCCCAATCAGTGGCGCCTGCACAATCCAATCACGTTTGAGAGGGAAACAACAAATTGAGGGTGTCCGAGATTTTTCTTTTTACTTTTTTTTTTTTTACTCGGGTACTCACGGTTATGGATAGAAATGTATTGGAGTAAAGAGTACAATATTTGCCTCTCAAATGTACTTGAGTAAAGTCATGAGTACTCCCCAAAAATGATACTCGAGTAAAGTACAGATCCCTCAAAATTGTACTTAAGTACTGTACTCAAGTAAATGTACTCCATTACTGTCCGGCTCTGGACATTACCTGAGAAGCAATGCATGCACACTTAAACGGTGTAATTTCCCATTTACCTGCAGCCTCTCTAAATGTCATAACAGCACTAAGGTAACTGTGAATAATGCAGAGGTAATGCCCATCAGGGTATTTAAAATGTGAGACCAGTCAAGTATTGGCAAGCGTCAGTCCTTTTTATAAGGCCCTTTTATGTTTGTGGATTGAAAAAAACAAAACAAAAAGCATAACCTCTGTAAAACCACCATCCCTCTTTTCCATCCCCATTAACAGTGTAAACATTTCCAGAACAAGTTATAAATTACGACAATTAGCCAAGCAGAACTCACAAAGCTCTTTCAGTACTTCTGACATGAAAAACAAAAGGATTTGGAACCTTCGCTTTGTCGCGTACAGTGTAGGCAGTCTCGAGCTGAAAGACTGTACCGCTAATAGTTTGAAATACTGTAAGCACTCAAGCCGCCAGCCTCTAATAGCTCAAAAGCAGCACAGAGATTTTGACGGAGATTCTGTTTCATTTAATTTACTGTAGAGTAGAAAGGATGTGTGCAAAACATATGACTGTGAGAGACTGAGAGACAAAAGAATAAGAACAAGAAGAATAAGAAAAAAGAACAAGGAGAAAATCAGTACATCATAATAGGATTCCAAGAAGAAGAAAAAGAACAACATGAACAAGAGGAATGGCCGACAAAATTCACTTTTAATGCACAGTTTAGCTCTATCCTTGAAAATTCTGTCATCAATTACTGACCCTCAAATCGTTTCAAAACACAAGATTTGTTTTTGTTGAAAATGTGTGAGTGTCATTCCTGTCCTTCCATTGAATATACAATCCACCAAAACTTTGACACTTCAAAAAGTTCATAAAGGGATTGCAAAAGTAATCCATATGAATCGAAGGATTTAATCCAAGTCAAAGACGTAAAAGTTGACGCGAACAACCCTCACTGGCTCTTGCAGAAGCTTAAACATGCTTGCATCACAAGCCAGAACAAGCCTCAAGGAACAAACCTCAATGGTTCCAACACATCAAACAAGCACGTTTGAGCTTACGTTTACCATATCTGATATAGCCTAGTTGATGTGCTCTCATATAAAGCAATCATGTCTCTTTTGAAGACTGGGGTTGAACCACTTGATTATATGGATTAATTACAAACTCTTAATTAACTTTTTAAAGCGTCAAAGTTTTTGTTTGAATAAACTTTCAATCAAGAGACAGACATATGTCAGGTTTTATTGAAAATATCTTCATTTGGGTTTTTCGAAGATGATGTCTTTTGAGCAAAATATGACAAAATATAATTTTTTTAGTGAAAAGGGGGGAAATAAACAGCAGACCATTTAGTAAAGAACGGAATGAAAAATATCTGTTTGCCATGCAACGAGCGAAGTGCTGTGTTACAGCAGGAAATTCTGAGAAGGCACTTCAAACACTCCAAGCACTCAAACTTTGCTCCGATTCTTGCTGACATAAATTGAAAAGGCCTAACAAGCTATCATGGTCAGATAATGTTTCTAGCAAGAGAAAGCTCTCAGCCTCTTTCTATGTAGCAAGGATCCTCAAAAAAAGAAGAAATCGTCCACTGGCTCAAAACTATGAAAGATTGCATGTAGAGGAAATTGGGATAAAGTCAGAAACAATATCAGTTGCATCTATTCAGAAAATACTGATGTCTGACTCTAACACAAAATACTGACACTCATAGACTAACAAAAGTTGTCACTAACAGTGAATGAATCCACTGATGCAATATAGGAAAGCTGTGTCTATGTAAGAATTTTGGATGGCACATTAACAATTGATTTGAGAGCACCACTTGTTTCAAAGGCTCCTTTGAGGCATGTCAGCCAAGCACAGTGATTTTCTCATACATCATGATTTTGTGGATTCAGGCAGGAGAAATGATGCTTTTCTCCATGGCTACCATCACTGGAGAGCTGTAACATTTCTAACTCAAATGATTGATTAGAATTTCATGGCCGAAGTGTGCTTTCTGTGTGACAGCTTTCATCACTCAAACGACCTTAATCCGAGATTGCAGTGAAGGGATAAAACGGCCAATGATATTTTAGCAATACTTGTTTTTGTTGTTGTTGTTTTGGAACACTCCAAAAATGCTACACTTTTTCAACACTCCAGGACTTCATAAACAACGTGTCAGAACAAGTTAAGATATGATGAAACTTTGCTGCAAGGTTTTACGACTTCAAAAACACGCAATTCAATTCACCAAGTACTAGTGATGCAGTGAGTTTGTTCACATAACTGGATGAAGGCTCCTTACAATTAGAACTGACAGACATCCAAACATCACCCGATCTGAAGCAGGGGCTTAGTCTGAGGAACACCAATGTTGGCAAATTCTATTCATTCTGACTATGTTTTGTGAAACTAACACATGTAAGTCAAGCTTCTCAAATATTTGAAGTTTTTTACTGTTAAGAAACACACTATTAAACAGTGTAAGTGAAGTAGCACCAGATTTATTCCAGTAGATTTATTGTTATGTTAACTTCTGCATTATTTACAGCTTCTTATTTATTTGACGTAGATTTGATTTAAGATAATTGTTCATATGCATATTTCTATTTGTTCAATCTATCGAAGTATTTGAACTAAATTTTGCTCCTCAATAAAAGAGACACTGAAGCCTGTTCTGAATGTTGACTTCTGAAATGTGGCAGATCCCTGCAATACGTACCAATCCTAACTCATTACCATTACATAGAATTTGCTGTAGCTTCCACCTGAAATTAACATTAGAGACAGTAAAACGCAAAAAAAGTGACACATAAAAAAACTAAAGTAACAAATAGTCCAGGCCTGGTCCTCTCTCGCCCTTCACTGTCGTCGCTCCTCCTTTTATGCATTTAGTCATTTAGCAGAATTTTAAGTTAATTTTATGCTTCCATAGCTCTTCCGTTCTTCTTTGTAAAGCACTTTGTGATTTCTATCTGTGAAAGGTGCTATACAAATAATTTACTTACTTACTTACACTACGGTACTACAACATGCTTCTCTTTGTGTTTGATGTGACCGCT